ACAGTCGCGATGCGTTTATTGATATTTACCGGGTAATATAATTTCTGTCGGTACTAATTACTTTTTCCTAGTATGATGGTGATATCTGGATTCCATTTTTGTGGAGTGACTCATCTTTAGAAACTTGGGATGATATTATCGGACAAAACTTTCCGGTAGACTGAGTAGTCTTGATTTTGAGATTTAATTATTCTTAAATTAAGATCTTATTTTTAGATAAAGTTGATAGTGAGAAGAGAGAAGTTGGGTGATTATGGAAGTTAGATTTTACTTTTTAAGTGGTTTGTAGTGGAATTTTTTTATGTAGAGAATTATTATTTTGTTGCGTGTGCTAGTGAACGGAATTTTTTAGTAAATTCAGAAGGAAATATAAGAGAGTTATTTTTAAAATAAAAGAATATTATAGAAGTGTTTAATACAAAAGTTATTAATTCAAGTTCAGGAATTATAATTGCATTAATTGTTACAATATTATTCATTTTGGTATGTTTCTTAACATTTCATTTGAAACGAGACACCCTGTGTATATAAATATCATTTTTAAAGATAAGAAGCTCACCTTGATACTCTGGAACGGTATTAAATATTTTCGTATCTGACGGGGTGCAGAGATAAGGTAATTGCTGCTAAAAATATTGACCATTTGAGGTAATAAATTGAGTAGCGCTCCCGCGGAGGAAGTGTCAGTAGTTCAGTCATTAAATGTTAATTGAGAGTAGTAAGAAACGAGTACATTTTCCAAACTAAGTGTTCGTGTATACATTCACGTGACGATTTAAAATTTCTAACGTAACGTTTCTTGGTACTTCTCGTGCGTGGCGTTCAAAATAAATTGTAGAATAGATTGAAAAGAAATTTACTGCCCTGCGAGAAGGATTTATCGATCAAAATAGGAAAAGAACTTTACGCGAACATCGATCTTGGGCTGTTTTGATCGGGAAACAGGAAGCTTGAGAATTTTGAAAACTTTCTTCATTCGCGTTTGAAAATGACCATTATGTAGGAGAAGTTCTAAATGCTCTTGTTGTATTGGAAAATATTACTTGTAGTATAATAACTCTTTATGGAAATTAGTTTCAATATTAATTGCTTTATAACAATTATTTCAACTCATTTATAACCTTAGAAAATCCTAAATGACCAAGCATAACATTGTGGAAACACTCTATAGCCTCCATAGAAATATACTTTACAATTACAAGTACGGTATATTTTGTCATTCTTCAATTTTAAAAAACTATATGAATCAATATTATTTTGAATAATTAGTACTAAGAAACGAGACTGAGACAATAATTTCTACCTCTCATGTTTTCCAATCTGTACCAAATTCATTCTCAGGGAATAAATTGCAATTCTTATCAAACGCGCGAAACCTATTGGTAGAAAGCACTACTAGTTATTACGTTTCTGTCACGCCGATATTTACGCCGTGCAATGCGTAAAAATACTATCGATACGAGGATTTATACCCTGTAAAAGCGAGCAGAAAAATAGTCTTTCCAGTTCCTCGATACAGCATGGTTCATAACACAATATTTTTCTGTTAGACCGCTACAATATCGTTTGTTTCGCATAATCACCTAAAGTTTTCCAGAAACGATCGTCTAAAACGATCGGCGCAAAGAGTACAAATCGAAGCCACCAGAAGTGCCAATTTTTTGCTCGTTTCGACAACTTCAATATAAAACGTACCGAGAATTGCACTGCTATATAAACGTCACCGCAATCTACCAATTGTAATCACGAAACGATGCACACAAGCTGCGCCGCTCGAGTCCCTATCATTAAAAGCAGCCTTCTCCCGTCAAATGTTTACGGAGTCCAGCGATAACGAGCGCGAGCGGCTCGTCAGGAAAGAAATAAACCGCGAAAAGCGGCCGCTGATTTATGAACCGCCGCCCGATCGTGTTCGCAAGCGTGCTTTTCACTTAGCGTAATCAGCCGATCCGGCCGCCTCCGAAATTCGCGCGACTCTCCGGCCCGCCAGGAACGCCGAATAACCTGATTCGACGGCCACTTCCGATTAAGATAAACGATACCCCGGGTCAATTAAGTAACAGCCAATTAGGCAGGACGCGATTCGATAGACTGTGGGATCACTGGAATTTTCAACCCCTTATCTTGAGACATTCTTAGTGGTTACACACGGAAGATTTTATAGAAATGTTACATACCTTTTAACAGTGAACGCCGTGTACAGATTAAACATTTACAAAACCATTATTTTTCTACAATCGCTTCGAAGTCACATTTATATTTATTAAGTTCAATGGAAAATCTTCATTGATGATAATAATAGTACATAGCGACATTTAAAGAATGAAAAATCCGATTTTATTCTTTCCGCCATAGACTACAATAAATCAGAAATAAAATCAAAGTTTGCTTCTAAATTATATCCTTCCTTCGTTCACAATCTTACAAGACTCACAATTTGATACGTTCACTGAACACCAGTATTTACAAAATGTAAATCTGTTTAATGGAACAAAAATAGAAACCACTATGAACCTTCTTGGGTCTCTCAGGATCTATCAATATAAATTTCAATCCCTATTGTACCTGACCCAAAGAATTAATTTTGAACGAGTGATGATAGGGAAGGTACTAATTATAAGGCAAGTGCCTAGACCGAGCCTTACCTGCGCTGTGAAGAGGAGGCTGATGAAACTTGAGTTCGGCGGTGAGGTGCCAGCTACCCGGCGCCGCGAGCTGCAAACCGATCCCGAGGAAATGAACGAGCGCGGAGCAAGTCACGATCACGTATCCCCATCCACCCTCTGGATAGTAATGCCTCCTCAGGGTAGCCTCTTTCCGGACATCGTTCGTCGATCGACAGAGTGGCTCGCCGTTCCTCCCCTCGCCGCAGTTCGCCTTCTCCTTATTCCTATTCCTGGTCGCTCCAATTAGACCGGTCGCTCCTATTCTCTGCCAGCTGTTTCTCATTTTCTTCTCCACCGTGGAATATTTACGTAACGTTTCCGCTTTACCGGAACCGGCTACCTGACACCGGCCCTCCCTGACCAGGTTACTATTATCGTTCGACGAGCCGAAAGGGTCGAAACGTTTCAGCAGACCCACTGAAGTGCACTTGGGACACACGTGACGGGGTCTCTGCGATGCTTCGCGAGAAGATCCTGGGTAATCGTAATCTAGATCCTGACTATTAGGACTCTTCCCAGCTTCAGAATCTTCATCCGAGTTAGCTGGGTTCTCTTCTGTCGAGTCTTGGCACGTAGCCTGTATTTGGACTATAGTTTCCAGTGGCAAGGAATCCTCATTGCTCTTGATGTCCTCTTTCGAATCGTCTGACCCGTCTTCCTTCGTCAAAGAATTTTTAATCCCCACCGAAGGATCGTTTTTATCCTCTAACCAACTGGAACGAGATTCTTCATCTATCACCGAATCATTCGATTTTATTCCCTCCAACTTTTCAGCGTCTTGCGTCGATCTTAGAGGATCTGTCGCTGATTGATCAAACAAGAAACTACCTGACAACCTAGCTGCAATTCTTTGATCCCTATTCGAGCCGCTGTTCATAATCTCAGGTACAAAAGCGTCTAGCTCGTAGGTTTCCTCGAATTTCCCGCGACGATCCGGCTCGCCGACTTCGGCCCCGTCGAGGAACCGGTGCTTGAACTCGGCAGAGGCCGCGGGGCCCCGATCGAGGAGCACGATCTCGTCGATCCAGCCGGGCTCCACCGCAGCTAAGAGAGGATGGAAGCCCTCGCGGATCGTCGGTATGATCGTAAAAGCACGCGACAACGGGTCGACGCGCACTTTCACCGTCTGCGGTGTCCGGTCCGGCCAGGAGCTGCTGTGTCTCATGATCTTCCGCTCTTCTTTGCGCACTGTCATCTCACGATCGGTGTCATTAGAATCTGAGAACCAGCTGGACGGGTGTGCCGGACGGCATCTTCGCGGGCGGACCGAACACAAATTCTTGTTTCTCAGCGACGACGGATCTGACCCTCCCGAACAATGATAAAAGGATTATTCTCTTTATGGGCTTTCCTCGCTGGCGGCTATTGTTCCCGAGATCTCCGGGGAGCGAACACTTTAAACCCTTGCGAAACGACCGCATCTTTCTTGGCTTCTTCAACACTGTCGAGCGACACACGGGTTTATTCGCCTGGATTTCGAGTTAGGCCATTTAGGAGGTTTAGAGGACGGACTTTTTAGATGACGAACTCCGGAGCAGCACTGTGTTTTGGAAACGGTGTGAAAAAGATCGTTTGAAAAGGAAGGTACGGTCCTGGCGAGTGCGCCAGGATGACTGCTACGCACGTGCTGCTCACTTACGAGCAACCCTCTCCTCTCGCTCCCTCTTTTTCCCTCTTTCTCCCTCCCCCTTCTCGCGCTGTCTCCCTCTTCCCAATGGCGGGCGCATGCCTGCCCGATACCCGACGAATCCGCGAGGCCCGCGTTTACGTCAAGGGTTCCTTCTCGATTCCGAGAATC